TCGATTGCTTGTCTGGTCGAGCTTAGAGCTGCTCGAGCGTCAATCCTCCCGCCTTTTTGGCTCGGCTTGCTTCCGGTTTGGCCTCCTCGACCGGCCAAGTGGGCCGGTTTATCCTTGAGTATATAATATCCTATATCACATACAATATGGATGTTAAATCGAAGTTCATCAAAAGATGATTAATTTGATAGATTATATATGTAAAACTGATAAAAAAAACAAAAATTATTAACGTTTACATACATTTACAATTCAATATTAATAATAAGAAATAATATAGGATCCCGAAGCATGCGAGTCTGGTAATATCTGAATTAATATATAGAGGGGATATCTAATTAACCTGTGAAAAGAACGAAACGTGGTAGTGTCATTTGGTTTATTTTTGCCTTCTCTTCTTGCGGTGCGCATCCACACACTAATTTCACATGTACGTTAATGTTTCACATCCGTTTTGTTCTGAACTTAACTTTTGTGTATGTAGTCCGTACAAAATTACTCTATGGACTTACATATTAATATTTCCTAAGTTTGAATGTTTATTCTAACTTAGAAGATATTAATATACATTTTGGGGATATTGTCGGTTGTAACTAAGAATTTCCCAAACATTTCAGTGTGAACTTATGTGTAATAGCTGGTCTTCTTCTAAGCTATTATAATGGATGTCGATTAATTCAACATGTTCGTGCATATATACTTCAACTGTCTCTTTACATTTGGATTTATTATGTTATTTGTACCAAATAGCAGCCATGGATACCTTCAAACATTGCATAAGATACTTAGACTTCATATTTTCTATTCCTACCAGATACCTTCAAAAACTGCATAAGTTAGATTTCATATTTTCTATTCCTACTAGTTAATATAGTGATTGTGCATTACTAAAATATGTTCTTACATTTACAGTCAAAGTTTTGAACAACATTCATAGTGATTCCCACTATCCGTCACAAATAAAGTGATCTATTTACAGGAAAGGTTTGGGAAATAAAAGTTTCAAGTCACATAAGTTTACCCTCAAACGTTGTTACAGTAATTGACATAAAAGGTTCACATAAACGATTACTCACCAACCACATGAACGATTACATGAATAAGGATAGGCTGCATTCAAGTCACAACAATAAAAGGTTGACATAAACGATTACATAATATAAAATTACAAAACAATTGTCTTCAACTACAAAAAACACACACATAGATCACACTGCATAATGTCGAATTACAAAACAATTGAACTCAATGACATGAAACTCACATATCACGCTATGCTCATCACAAAACCAACATACTCATCAGGAAACAAATGGAATATACATTTTGAACCTTCAACAATTCCACTTCTATTTATAAACTCTCTAGCGCGACTATTTTGCATCAACACTTTCCCATGCCCTTCGACAATTTTAACTTCATACTCGCCTTCGGCACATGCCAATGTCCCACGAGTCAAGTAATCATACTTACCCACCACATGTGCCCGCCAAAACAGAATAGGGATAGGCTGCATTCAATTATTTTTTTCTTAAAATATGATATAAATACAGAACAAAAAAGATGCCACAAAATAATAACATGTAATTTACAATAATTACTCAATTACCAGCCGTGCACGTTCTATGTGTGTTTTCTTGATCTCAAGTGTAAAATGATATTCCACAGTGCGCTCAATTGCATTTTCCTCAAGAACAGTGACAACAAATTCTTTAAGATTATTGCGTTCAAACCAAACATAATAATCACGCTGAATATTCTCCGCCACAACAAATTCGAACCACCCTTCATCAAATGCTACACCATAAACATTACCTCTTATTGTAACCTCATACATGCGACCTGCTGTTGTAGTTAACGTACATCGAAGAGGTACATCGCACATGTATTCATGCACAAGACTCGATGGCAGCCTCTGTAATGCAAGAAAAATTTATTCATGTCTTTTGTGTTTCTATATAAAACTTATAATCAACTACAATGACCAACATAATACAAAATAATTCCATTTACAGAGTCTTACCATTGTTCGTTTGGCCGGATTCGAAACAACGACAAAAAATCGCCTCAGAGGACCATCCATAATCAACACCTGTGCAGTGAGTACTGATATATATCAGATCTCAAAATTTTTCAGATGAAAAATAAGAAAAAAAAAAACCAA